GCTGCCAATGAGTACTGGCAGCATTTTGGGCTTGTTCACAGACACATTTGGGTGATCTGTGACAAAAGCTGCAATGCAGGGAGCAGCGCCGCACAGATGTCATGTCATGTGAAGAGCTTGACAGGATACTGCACCGGAGTGTGCAGCGCATGGTCCAGTAATGCGTGATGTGATTGGTGCAGAGTGTTCAAGCTAAGCTTGCAGGCCACCAGGCCTGTGAATGTTTACTCATTGTCACACATGCATGATTCAACATAGCCACAGTCACAGTCCACCACCTTGCAGCTTGCACTTGTAGAGTAGCCTGCAGGCACTCCGTTGCCATGGCAAGGGTGCGTCGCATGGAGACGCTGCATGAAGCTCTGGAGGAGGCTGCTGAGATCCTTCAGTCAGCCCAGAGCCAGCCTTCAAGCACTGAGCTCTCTGTGGCAGCCAAAGACATTCCAAGAGCAGATGCTGCTGCACCATCTTACTTTGCCAGGCAGGGGAAGAGGCAGCGCACCCAAACCCTCCAGCTGGGCGACTTTTCTGATGTAGATGACACCTACTGGCAGCAAGACCAGCACCCCAATCACTGCTGTTGCGGGAACTGCTTGATTGTCTTTCGCGCATGGATTGAAGAGCAGGGAGCTGTGGCCACCAACTTGGAAGATGGCGCTGCTTTGGAGGCTGAGGGTGATGCCGAGTGTGCCAAGGATGTGGCCAAGTGAAGAAGAACTGGCTTGCAGGCTTGCAGGCTGGCAGGATGATCTGATGCCAGGCTGGCAGGGATCAGGGAGGGATGGTTTGAGCTCGCAATGGTAAATTGATGATAGTCACCTGACACCATGGGATTTTTCCATGAGGCAAAGCCCATGCCTCATCCAATAAGCAGCATTTTCCAGGCCAACTAATCTACACAGGAGTGGTCCAGTTTTGGCCCCGTTGCTGACCTTTTGCCCTAGCCTGTGGGAGACAAGTTTGCGCCTGGCCAATCCATGCGTTTGCACACCCGGTTTCGCAAGCGTGTAAGTTAGTCTTAACCCATGTGCCCAGGCATCTTCTGCTAGCTCAGCCCTCAGAGTTCCTGCACTCTTACACCACTGGTGGTGCCTCTTAGCCACTTTTGTGCCCCCACCCCTGTGTCATTAGGGCTCTTTGGCAGTTCATGGTCCTCAAGACCAACTTGAGCTGCACGCGTGGGATTTCTTGCATTTGCAGCCTAGGTTCCCACATCAAGCCCCTGTTCCCTCCTTGGCTGTGGGGTGGCCATCCTTGCATGTTTACCTTGCGCAGCTAGCCACAGGTGGTCTTTGCCATGTGCTGCGTTGGCATATCAGGCCTCCTGAGCCCCCTCTGCTCAAGCACACAGTGCGCTCGCTAGGTGGCCCTTTTTCCTGTTGCTTTGAGCCATGAACAGCTCCTGCACACCTGAGCTTCAGGAGGCACTTGGAAGGCTTGCAGACCTGCAGGAGGCACTTGGAAGGCTTGCAGACCTGCAGGCAGAGCTTCAGACCTGCCTTGGACCCATGAGGCGCACCCTTGAGGCCAACCAAGAGGAGTTGCATGAGACCAGGCTTTTGGTGAGGAACTTGTCCTGGGACATCGCATGTCTCCACTACTGCGTCGCAGTTTGCTGCCTAATTCTTTTGATAGCCATGCGATATTTTTGCTGAGCATGCCAGAAAAAGAGAGACGAGATTCTTTTCATATTGAAAAGGCACTTCTCCTTTCGGGTCTTGCCATCCCATGTCTGCCAGGTGATGTCTCCAGATTGCCATGGCCTCAGTGGCTGCTTTCATGTCCATAACCCTGGGCTTGTGTGTGTGTGCGCCAATTTTTCAGGGTTTGGAAGGTGCCCAAAATCCCAACAGCCCTGTCCATGCCATGGCATCCATGGCATGGGGCATCCATGGCATGGTCCACCCAAAATCCAAGGCTTGCCAGGGGAAAATGCCCGCACTCGTTCTTTTGAAGTTCTTTCCCCAAAGTGAAGGCATGTGTGTTGGCCTTGGAGTGGCTCAGCACTGCCTGCACTTGGAGAAATGGCCCATCCAAAATTGTGAATGCAATGATGCTGGTCAGGCAAAACCAAAGAGAGTAACAACCCAAAAAGCAGTTCCAGGATGCCTTTAATGACAGCTGCCATGCTTTGAAGTAGACACCCACCATGGGCGCACCAGGTGAGGGGCCGGACTTGCGTGCCACTGTAATGTGTGACACACTGCTATTTTGAGGGGGTGACTGTTTAACATTGTGAAGCTCGATTCATTATATTTTTGCCACAAAGAGACAACCCCTGGATTCTTGAAGCTGTGGTGTCTGTGGGCTGTCTGCCAGTTGTGTCTAGCCTTTGGGTATCCTTGAAAAGTTGTGTCTTCTGCGCTCAGCCATGCCCAGGTGCTTTGGGGAAGCCAATCTGCTGGTCGGCTGTGAGGATGTCAGTTTGAGAGGAAAACAAATTGTTGTCTTGTTGAGCCTGCTACTGTACTGGGTAATTGTGTGCGCACACCGAAATGATAATGTTGAACGAATGGCCAGCCAGTGGAATGATGTGCCTGCCGTGGGTGGGCACCTTTGCATGCCCAATGTGAACTGCCATGAGTTTTTGGCTCACAGCACAGCACAGCTTGCAGGCCAGCAGGCTTGCAGTCCAGACAGCTTGCAGGCAATGCCCCAACAGAGAGGGCTTTCGTATGAGAAGCGGCAAGGTGTCAGAACACTCAAGAAGGCTGTCAAGGTGGCCACAGAGGAGGCTGCAACCTCCAACAAGAAAATTGGCATCTTGAAGAATGATGTGAAGGAGCTGAACTCTGCACTCAAGCACGTTGCGAATGATCTGATGGAGGAAACGTGCCTCCGTGCCAAGGCTGAGCAAGAGACTGAGAAGATCAAGAAGGGCAGGGACGTTGTTCTGGAGAAGCACCAGGGGATGTGGAAGCGGGTCTATGACAAGTGCAACCAGGCAGGGTTGACCAAGCATGACCATGGGCCTGGCAGTTGCTACCCCTGACTTGACCGCAGGAAAAGGACGCCCTCTGCATTGAGAATGCAGACTTGCACTTTCAGATCATGGACTTGCAGGAGAAGCAGGAGCAGAGCTCTTCTTCCAAGAGCCAGCCATCAAATGCCAAGAAGCCTGAGATGTCTAAGAAGTGAAGCCAGCATTGCAGGCCTACAGGCCTGCAGGCTAGCTTGAACTTGGCTACCTGGCGCCGTTCTGGAAAAAAGCTTGTGAAGCGGTGGGTGTTTGTGTGTGTGTGTGTTACCCATGTGTGGTTGCATGTGCCGTGCGTGGCCTTTGCTGAGCAGCTCAGTTGCGCCTGTTTAGGTCACTGTGTACATGTCTGTTTGCGCTGTGTTATCAATGGGCTTCTCCTTGCGTTGCAATTGAAGAGCCCACCTGCGGGCAGCACTCATCAGGGTCAACCGATGCAGCACATGCACTTGGGGCTTTGGGGCTGACGCGCATGGCTTGCAGCTGGGGGGCAGGGAGGGGGACTGGAGCATTTATTGGTCTGGTGCTGAACGAATTTCCTGCCCAATGGAGCTGTTTTGAAATTAGATGTTTTGCGCCACTTGGTTGATTGAAGGTTTGCCCTCCCCCTTGCATGATGTCTTCAAGGTTTCTGGCATTAATGTTTAGTGTGTAATTGGTGTTCAAATTTGACAATCCCATCAAGGAGCATCAAAGCTGAACAGTTGTCCTGGCGAAAGTGCAACATTGGCTGGCAGAACCCCAGCCTCCAATCGGTCAACACCTTCAAAAGTCAGTGGGGCCCTCCCTAGTGTCTGACAAGGGCTGGGGTGAACTGCGAAAACTTGCCTTGAACATCCTTTAAGCCTCTGGCCTTTGTCTTACTTGTTCCCAACCCCTACAGTGATAGGAAAATCCAAGGCATGGAGTCCATGCCTTGGCAGGCTTACAACCCCACAATGTGACTGCGCCCTAGTGAGTGGCAACATTGCCTCTTTGCCTGCCAGGCCTGTGTCACCCTGAAGTGAGGGCCTTAGATGCCTGGGCCTTAGTGTCTGCACCTTAGCTTGCAGCAGGCTCCGCTCTGCTGGGGCCTTAGTGAACCTCAGTGCAGGGCTTGAGCCTTAGTGCCCAGCTGCCCCAAACAGTCAAATGGCAACTTCTTTGGCTGCAAGCGTCTGTGTGCAAACACATTGTGGCTGCAGTGTGGTTTGGTGCACGGGTGTGCAACAGGGCATGAAACTTAGGGTCATGGTCAGCACACGTAGCCCCACATGCATTTTCTCAATGGCTGTGCCCTCTATGCATAGTGCTTTGCAGTTGTTACAGTTCTGAAGCAAAGCAGGGATATATATTGACCACTAGGCCATTGAATATTGCAGTCTTGGTGCAGGCTAAAGTGCCCCATGACCATCCTCCCTCTCTGGCCAGGCCTGCTTGGTCATCTTTACCATGTGCCCAAAAAAATGGTGCGCTTTTCAGCGCTACCCGCTTTTCAGCGGTGCCTATGTTTTTACCCTCCCTCCCTCCCTGTGAACTGCTGCTCCAAGTATTCCATGAAGTAGTCCGAGCCACAGTGCAGGGGGTGGGCACAGGGAAGGGTTGGGATGTGGGCACAGGGAAGGGTTGGGATGTGGGCCTGGCAAACAAAACTAAATCTTGGTATCTTAGAATGTTGGTGCCTGTATCTTAGTTCCACTTCTTCTGGTTTGGTGGTTATTGAAAAGAAGAAACAACCCTTTGTTTTACTGGTGGTTGGTGGCACCGCTGGAGGGGTAGATGAACCATCGGAAGATGCAGTGCTTGAGATTGGATGGCGGATCTCCCCCCCGAATCAACCACAGGATATGTCCGAACCTGATACGAGCAGCGCATGAAACCGGCGCAAACACGCTTATGAAGGTTTATGCAGCCCTTGCTATCCATTGCTATAACCCCATGAAACCAGGTAGTATAGCCACCCACTTAAACATGTCGAAACGCGGGTTTGATGGCTGCACACATGGCTGTCTGCTATTGTCTCTTTTTTCGCAGATCGAGGCGCGAAAGTTGAGGAAAAGCATGTAGAGAGGCAC